CAGGGTACAAATTTACGACCAGACTGAATTTATTCAGAGAAAATAAATCCACAGGGGTGGGTAACCAACCATTGGCTTGCACATTGAGGGCATGAATACCAGGAGGCCCACACTCCACCAGGCTGGGCTTTTTTATCTTAGGAGGGTTAGGGGTGGGGAAGGGGGTAAGGGGCAGCAGGCAAAGTTGAATTCTTCCATAATGGTCTTTCAAGTGGCTGCCAGGCCTCTGAACCTGGGGAAGAATGTAGGATGGGGGCGGGGGTGTAAAGACAGTTGGGCATGAGACCAAGTTGAGATTCAGGGACAAGGAATACTTTCCGATTTTTATCTATCTTTGGGCAATGAGAAAGAATGGCTGAGGCTTATGTCTTTGTTTCATCACTCCTGTTTAAAGGAATTTTTCAGAGAAGTGGCTTTTTGACTTTGGTAGGAATTACAGCTTAGGCGGTAGCATAACATTTGGAAAATTCAGATACCAACTGCTTGTTATAGAACACCTCCAGAACTGGTTGGAAGAATTGCTGCAGAACCCCCACAAACTTGCCCCACTGTTTTGAATCACAGAAAGCCAATCACTAACACCAGAGTGGTGAAAGAAAATAGTTTATTGTGAATTACAGAGCAAGAACTCTGCTCTTCTTTAATTCATGGGCTCCCTGAGGGGTTAGGCCTAAAGATTCTTATCAATTTAAGTTGAGGTAGAGAGGGACATGTTCAGCTCTGGTCCAAGCTCCTGGTTGGTCTATAGTGCTTGTGATCCTCCTTTGATTCATCATCAATACCAGGTTTTCATAGGAAGTTTTAATGATGCCAAAGTGGGCTCCAGTTAATCTGGGACCTACTTGCGGGTGGTGGTTACTTTCCCCTCAGAGCCTGAAGTTCCCAGGACAAGACAGAACATCAAGATGTTATCTTTCTGAGAAATAAATGACCTCATGAGGATGGTGATCAGGGTTGCTCAGGGATGGCTGCACCACTCCCTCAATTCAGTGAGCTAATTTTAGTAAGAGGTTGATTTGTAATCTTAAATGCAGGGCAAGGAAAGTTTAAGCTAAGGGAGGGAGACTGAGAGATCTGGGAGACAAGGACCTGAGTTTAGCTAGCATTTGCCTGCGAAGCATGTATAGGGGCTTTGTTTCATGCTTGTGAGCTGGTAATTCTGGTTGTCAATGTTACTTTGTTGTCAATGTTATAGTCTGAAGTCCCTGTACCTATCTACTACTCGGGTATGTATCTACTTGGAATTTGTTGTGGGATTGGTTGGAGCAAATTATTGGCACTGCAAGATGAAATTCTAGCAGAAAGAACAAGATACAAGTGGAAGGCCGGCGCCACGGCTCAACAGGCTAATCCTCCACCTAGCGGCGCCGGCACACCGGGTTCTAGTCCCGGTCGGGGCGCCGGATTCTGTCCCGGTTGCCCCTCTTCCAGGCCAGCTCTCTGCTGTGGCCCGGGAGTGCAGTGGAGGATGGCCCAAGTACTTGGGCCCTGCACCCCATGGGAGACCAGGAGAAGCACCTGGCTCCTGCCTTTGGATTACATGTGACTGGTGACTGCCATATTGGGCATCACTGTTACAGAATGAGTTAAATTTCCTGCTTTTTGCTCCACATCACCCTGGTGATGCCAGTCTTCTGAGAGGAGAAAGGCAGTTTTATTACTGGCTGGTATAGGGCTTAAATCTGCCTCCCTGACTGGGAGCTTGCGGGAAACTCTGTGCAGAAATGGTGGTGAGGTATGTTCTGAATGGAGGGACTGAGATCAGTCAGGCCAGCACAGTTAACGATGTTTAGTCATTTTCCTGAAAAAGCAGGATATTAGCACAAGTTTACAGTTTACATCCTCTTCCTGCCCTTGGCTCCACAGCCACGTGAGTATGCTTCATTTGCCTCGGCAGAAGCCTGGAATCTCCTCTAGGGAGTAGGCTGATTGTTCCATGCTCTCCCTCAG